TTTTTAAAAAAAAATCAGAAATAAATGAATTAAAAAAATAATCGAATATACTTTTTAAATCTGTTATTTCTTTTTTTTTGTAAATTTGTAATTTTTTTTATTCATATCCCCGATTTTTAACTCCTTTTGGGTCACAGATGCAAACCTCCTCGTGGTGTGACCTGGACATCGAACAACTGTTCGATGACTAACTTGCGTATATTGCCAATTTAATAGATTTACGATAAAAATAAAAATAATGCAATGTTTATTTTAAAATCAATTAATAAAATAATTAAAAACTTAATTTAAAATAGAATATTTTTTTTAGTATTTAATATGTTAAAAGTGTATGTATACGTACAAAAGATTATTAGTTAATAAATATGATTATTTAAATATAAGATTTCGCAAAGACTTATATAATTGTTTTTGTAATACTGTAACTTAGATATATAAAATTCTGTTATCGCTTAAGTGTTAAGATTTGAAATTACTTTATGTTTAGTATCCATCCCAATGTATAGTGCAGCATTTAGTCTAAATTTCGAACTTTAGTAGTAACAATATATATATCAAATATATAATAAAAAATTAACCGGTAATATAAAAGTGAATTATTGAATTCATATTGATACGTACGATAATGTAACTCATAAAATCATAAAAAAAGTAATCTCCATTAAGTCAAGATATTTATCATTTTATTTGTTACAAACTTCAAAAGAGATAATTCGAAGCTAATGACATATTTAAAGAAGTAATATATTTTTTTATTGCATCTTTAAAATTTATAATATTAAGCATAGAATTTACATTGTATAATTAAATAAAAACCTCAAAAAAAAAAATTAGAACAAATCTAATTATAACACCGTATTACATTCTAGGAATATATTATTCTATTGGGAAATAATAAAATTATGTTTAATTTATTTTGAACAAAAACAAACTTGTTTTGCGGACTTTTCCCTATACTCATTTAAAGATTCACCTTCAATCTTGGCTGGCATATATCTAAATTTAGTGCCTTGTGTTACATCTACCCAATCATAAATAGCATGAAATGTTAATACGTAGAGCATCATACCCATTTACTTTAACGATGATTGTGTATACTTCATTTGCAGACGATATAAACCCATTTTTAAAAGATACAGTAATATTTTTGCTGTCTGCTTTGGATGGTTTAAAAGCAAAGGTATGACATACTGAATTAAAATTATATTCTGTTAACATGTCGTTGATTTTAGTCACTCCCAAAGAAATTATATTATCAATTTTTTTCATCTGTTCTTTATCACCATAGTTGAGATCTTCGTATTCAAGACATGGACAAAAGTCTAAAGGAATATTTATTGAGCCACAAGTACGGTTTTTATCCATCATTATCCATACATTTGAGCATCTGTTCGAATATGCTTCCTTGACTAATTTTCTTATCATACTAGCGTTAGATCTATCATTGCATTGAAGGAATAGTAATCCTCCTCGAGACTAAATAAACCATCATTCTTCTGATCCCATAGACTTATAGTGATATTTAAATATAGATTCATCAGGACATCCGGTAACGTTTACATATTGGGCATTTTCTTATTATCATATACCACATGACCTATCCCAGGGCTTAATAATTTAAAAAATCAAAAAATCATATAAGAATATAAGACCTTTTTATTATAAAATTTGTACATATGTTAGTATTTTAGATACAAACTTCTCGAAAGAAGGTTTTTTTTTACATGTAGATGAAAATGAAATATCAGTATAAAAAGTATAAAGAAAAAATTATTCTTTTTTTTTTACTTTTAATCATAGCGATTGATTGATAATTATGGGTTAAATTAATTTTATACAGCATATATATATATCGATACATGTGTTTTTATAAACATATTGTTGGTACGGCAATTCATCAATTTGTACCTTCGTTTATGTAAGATTGACAGAACAGACTCTACTTCCAGCCCATTAAAATTACTAGATATCCTAATATCAATAATATAATAAATCATATCTTTTTTTTGCATTTTCTAACTTTCAATTTTCGCTTTTCTATAGTTTCTATTGGTGTTAAATATCACTACATGCTTTCATTGAATATTACATGATAGAAATGTGTACGTTGTAATTAGTAAAATAGATAAAAAAAAACATTGTAGTAATTAATAATTATCGTTATCAAAGTTAAACATGCACAAATACGATTTATATACAAAGGTAAGTATATAAAGCCAAAGTGGTTCAACTTTATGCATATGTAAAATTTTGCATCAATAACACTCAAGAGAATCAGTTGATATTCAAAATATGCGAATAATTTGATACAAATAATTTAATAATGGATAAAAAATTTTTTTAAAACCCCATTTTAAGCATCTTTCTTTCCTATTTACTGGCATCAACTAGTAATATGAGCTGATACCAAACCTTGGGCTGACTCGACTGCCAAAATTACTCAGGCCGGTTGACCGGGCCGACCATACTGTTAAAAAATTTTTCAGCCTACTAAAATTACATAATGGTCTTATAATTTGATAACAATAAGAAATTTAGTTTAAAACAAAGATATAGCACAATTATTTTATCTTTTTTACTGTGCGTGTTCTATGCATCAGATTCAATTTTCGTAAGCATAGCAAATTTAAAAGATGAGACTAAACCTAATTCAATGAAATTATTGTCTTTAGCAGAATTTATAAAAATTATTAGTAATTATTAAATTTTAATTTGGTTATCGTTATTGCTATTTATGACTTTAATCCGGTAATTAACCTCACCAATTTTTAATTTGATAAATTTTAAGTTTCAATTGCATTATTAGCATTCGAATTAGGAAATAAAAATTTTATCGTACCTTTCAACATCTCATCTACCATACCTAGCTCTCTCTTTTTAACTTTCTTAACCCAATGTTTAGTTCTAGATCTGGCCAAATGATCTGCAAATTTGACCAGAATTATTAACGATGAGTTCCTCTATTTACCAGATGATGCAAATTCACCGATATGCAGAGGAAAAGTGAAAAAACGCAAAACAACAAAAACTGACGTTTAAACTAACCTTGGAGTATTAGCTGCTCGATACGTAAGTATCGAAGCAGCTTTTGTCTCGAATCATGTGCTATCCGATCGAACATGTGATAGG